CGTTATTTCTCGACATAATTGCTGTAAACATTGAGCCATTTATCTCAGCATGACACAAGTGTGAACATTTCTTCACAGTACTATTGCTTGTCAAGTTGCTTGAAGTAGTCAAGAACAGTGACTTTCAATTCTTACTGATCTGCAAAGTGTTTCCCCCGCCAAAAATTTCTTTAAAGGTCCAAATAAATGAAATTCTGAGGGGGCTAAATCTGGACTATATTCCACATGTCAAATCAAACCAAACTATGGCTGACACAGTAGAACTGGGAAGTCTTGCAACATCCTCCATATAATCCAAATTTAGCCCCCCCATTGGATTTTCATTTATTCAAACCTTTAAAGAAATTTTTGGTGGGTAAACACTTTGCAGATCAGTAAGAATTGGAAGACACCATTCTGGATTACTTCAAGCAACTTGACAAGCAACAGTATTGTGAAGAGATGTTTAAACTAGTGTCACACTGAGATAAATGTCTCAATGTTTACAGCAATTATGTCGAGAAATAAACAAAATTATGCAGTTTTTGTGAAATGTATTAAATATTTTCTTTATTTATAAATATTAGTCTAATTTTGGCCTGTACCTTTAATATCAGACTCTCCTTGTAGAAACCAGGGTGCCGTTAACCACTCAACCAAGGGCTACACACTTGGCGTGGCGTTGTAGTCATCGCAACTGGACTACTGAATGACATTGAAATTGTTTACGAATTAATCCTGCATATATCTGTGGAGGAATGACAACCACAGATGGGTGTGGTGGTATCCCAGGAAACACTATGATCTAGTATTTTTTGCCAAGTGTCACACTGGCCACATAATGGGCATCATGTTTGATCAACAGACAACCTTGATATACATTTCTGGTATTCTGACAGCAGACCAGTATGTCACACAAATTGTGAGGCCTGCGGTTTGGCCACTGGTGCGGACCACACCCAATACTGTGTTCCAAGAAGATAATGCCCAACCACATATCACATGGCAAACTCTCACCATCCTGAACAGAATTTACATCCTTCCCTGGTTGGCAGTCTTGTCAAACTTCTCTCCCCTCAAACATCTGTGGAACCTCATCCAATGTGAGGTGCATCAGGGACCACTGCCACATACTATAGACAACATGCATGCCACAGTTGACACAGCTTGGCGAGGGATACCTCAAGCATATTAATCACCTCATTGATAGTGTGCCTCGCCATGTAATGGCCTATTTAGCTGCCCGTGGGGGCCATATTCATTACTGAATACACAGGTGTCCATTGCATATCTATGTTTGCTTTTTAATTAATTGCATATCTCTGTCACCACTACCAGTCCTGCAATATACATGTAGCTATATGCATTCTTTTGTGATATTGCAATTTCACTTTTGAGAAGTGTAGATAATGTGAGATTATATTCTTTGTTTAAAAGCTTGCTTTAAATTCTTTACTTCACATTTGTTAAAATAAAATCAAACAATGTCGTTGGATAAAAAGCACATTGATCCTATTATGCTTTACAAGTTTCAAAAAAGATATAACACTGTACAAACAGTAAAAAGAACTGTAATGTGTATGGGAAAGATGCTCCTAAACTTCCAACATGTAAAATGTGATTTAAAAAATTCCATTCAAGAGATTTTGAACTAAAAAATACAAAATGTATGGAGCATCAAAAAGCTGTCCACAAAGAAAAATTGCAGGAAGAAACTATTAAAAATTGACAAACAACACACAATACAGTATATATATATATATAACCAAACACACCAAAAATAAAATGAAAAAAGCACTGAAACACATACAAGCATAATGCAAGAGAGAGAGCGACAGACAACTTGGACACAATATAGATTGTATTTATGCTTCAAGCACACTTTTTCACTAAGCATGCAGTTCAAACTTCAAAGCATCATTCAAACTCCAAGGCAAATTTTTGTTGAATTTTGCATTCAAAGTAAGGGTTGTTTGAAGTATAAGGTATCACTGTATTTTCTATACATAACAAATTTTAATTTAATTTAATAGATATAACTAAACAGTAATATTTTGAAATAAAAAGTTAACAATAAATATACATCTATTGTAATGTGTATGGGGAAGATGCTCTTAAACTTCCAACATGTAAAATGTGATTTAAAAAATTCCATTCAAGAGATTTTGAACTAAAAAATACAAAATGTATGGAGCATCAAAAAGCTGTCCACAAAGAAAAATTGCAGGAAGAAACTATTAAAAATTGACAAACAACACACAATACAGTATATATATATATATAACCAAACACACCAAAAATAAAATGAAAAAAGCACTGAAACACATACAAGCATAATGCAAGAGAGAGAGCGACAGACAACTTGGACACAATATAGATTGTATTTATGCTTCAAGCACACTTTTTCACTAAGCATGCAGTTCAAACTTCAAAGCATCATTCAAACTCCAAGGCAAATTTTTGTTGAATTTTGCATTCAAAGTAAGGGTTGTTTGAAGTATAAGGTATCACTGTATTTTCTATACATAACAAATTTTAATTTAATTTAATAGATATAACTAAACAGTAATATTTTGAAATAAAAAGTTAACAATAAATATACAAATAAATAAGATAAAATTCACAATTCAACAATAAGTTACATCCAAACCTGATCATAAAGTTTGCTGACTAATTTTAAATGGCTATGTTCCTGCTCATGGTACAGTATACAATTTCTTTGTTGAGCCATTAGAAGACATAACGGCAAAGCTAGATCTTGTTCCAAAAGAGCTTCTTTTAATCTTAAGGATGACTTCTTGGTATTTCTCATCTGATTAAAATAGCCTCCCTGAAATACAAATTTAAATTTTTTTTTTAACAATTTTAAGTATCATACATCCTCATGTTCAAAATTAAAGCAACACATACAAATGCACATAATGAAAATACAGAAATGAGCAGTCCTCCATTGCAATGAATCATCCAAATGCCTTCTTCAAGGTATGCTTGATAAGTTATAATGAATCAGAAACACTTCATTGTTAACAGTCTGAGCAGATGACTGTCAGAAACTGTGTATATACTCACTAAATTTTGTTGCATGAGCACTCTGCTACTGTACCTCATTTGCATGATACCTGCATGATAGGACAGCTCTTTGCTGATTTACATATAATGTATGTTTCAGTTATTCACATTTCACAGTGTTAATTTTATACAGGTCTTATGTTTGCTGCTTTAATTTTGGGCATCAATGTAAGTACATATTATTATAATGTATGATTTCAAAAGTAAAAACTATCTATTCAAAATTTAGCAACAATTACTGTATAATCAAATATTAGTCAATATTTTCCCCAGTTTTAAAAGGAGAAAAATCATTCAAATTCAATTAAAGTTTTCTTCAATTTAGATAACTGTCTGTAGCACATGAGTTAAACTGGTGATAAAATTCAGCATGTTGATTGTTTAGCAATGTTAAGCATCAGCCAAATTGTCATCTGTTATGCTGCAGTATGCAAACTATGTACAAAAATATATGAATGTGAACAATTGACTAAACCAAGTCAATTGATTTCATTGTACTCAACAGTTTTAGTGACTTCTACAGAAATTTTATTTTGATAACTTTTTTTATTTCATTTCCAGAAGTATCTGCTAATCAAGCAATTGTTGGAAGGATGTTGAAAATTAAGGATGAAATTAATTCTGCTGTAAAGTGTAAACTTCTATTGTAATTAGAAATTTTTTTATTCAATATGATTATATCTTTTAGACTTTATAAAAAAGTTTTAGACAGACAAAGTTTCAATTTTATTTTCAATGGCCATAAAGCTGCAAGTATACTTTCTAGAATATAAGTAAAATAGGCAAGGAATCCTACTTTCCCTAGTGTGACATTTATGCCGAACAGCCTACTTCCCAGCATATAAAACACTGTCTTGATTTTGCTCTGTAATTTTTATTAATTTCATTTTTATTGATATTGACAAAGAAGAATTAAATTAATTACTATCTAATTATTTACTTAGCTTAAAAATAGCCATATTATTCAGTAGGCTCTGAAGTTACAATTAATCACTTATAGATATTCAATGTGTATATTACTTTCTATAAAACAAACTCTTTGAGTAGAATTTTTTTGATCAACTAAATATAATTTGTAAAAATTAACTAAGAAAGCAATCAAAATTATCTTATGCTGCTTGATACCCAGGTATTTCTAAATACAAATTCAAAAAGTTTTAATTCTAACTAAAATAATTTTGAAAAGAAAGAAATGTAATTGAACGTAACTAATTTTCATAATCAATTGCATAAATAACAATAAAAATTCTACATATTATTGTAAAAGTTAAAATAATAATAGACCTGAAACAATAATATATTATTGTTTCAGGTCTATTATACAGTAGAACCTCCATTATCCGGATAATCGAAAATCCGGATAATGGAGGTTCTACTGTATATTAATAAAAAAACTTGTTAATAATAATAAAAAACTTGTTAATAATAAAACTTGTTAATAAAAAACTTGTTAATAATAATAAACCTGAAACAACAATAATATATTATTGTTTCAGGTTTATTATTATTAACAAGTTTTTTATTAACAAGTTTTATTATTAACAAGTTTTTTATTATTATTAACAAGTTTTTTTATTAATATACAGTAGAACCTCCATTATCCGGATTTTCGATTATCCGGATAATGGAGGTTCTACTGTATAATAGACCTGAAACAATAATATATTATTGTTTCAGGTCTATTATACAGTAGAACCTCCATTATCCGGATAATCGAAAATCCGGATAATGGAGGTTCTACTATATATTAAAACTAATTTCCAAAATATATTAATAAATATAAAAACAAAAAAAA